CCACTACAAGAGCTCATCTCACGTTGTCATTCCAGCTGGTCAGACATGCTGACACACTGAGCTGCTGACTTTCGCGATAAGGCGCGGGTCCCCATCATCGCTCAGCGTGCCTTTTACACCCAGAGATTTGGTTTCGAAGACCGAATGAGAAAAATACGCAAAAGAATTGACTTACAATTTGTTTTGTATGGATGATACCGGAAGAATGCAAGACCTATTCAAACCTCCGAGTTTGATAGTTATGCCCATAACCCAGCATTTCTTCGATGACCACAGTGCTAGGGAAACCTTGAGCTTCAAGCCAAAATCCGTCATTCACTCACCTTGCGACGTGCACGAACGTTTTCTGAGGAGACTAAATGTGTGCGAACTGTTCACGAGTATTTCACAGAACTTACCAAAAACAGCCGATCGTCGTCGGTGATCGTTGGTCCGACTTTCATCTCAAACTGGTGCAGTGGCTCTATCTGAAGTGAATTTTGACTGGATTAAAGCCCGGATTAACGGTAAGATATGCTCGCTGCTTGCTTTTCATATCATAATGAAATGAGCTGATCACGGAAACAAATATTTCCTTTTTTATGCTTCTAAAAGCTCTGAAAAAGACCTAAAAAATCTCACAGCCAGGGCAATTTAGATTTTCATCATTTATCATTATGCGGTCTACCTTCTGAAGCAGTGGGTATCCACAGTTTGTAAGATGTGTAAGCCTTTCAACACTTTAACTACTGTTGCTACACATGTTTACCACTCGAAAAAGTAGTAGTATTAACCCTTTCGGCCCTGGCGGTGGCAATTGCCACCATCAAATTCAAACGTTTGCATTGCCGCTGAACAGCATGGTTTTTCTAATCCTGCTAGAGGTTGCTTCAGTCAACCTTCCCCTTCCTAATTATGAGCTGAACCTGCCATTTCATTGTGTGTTGCTGTTAGTATTACAAGTATTTGTGTACAAGTGCAACAATGATCCCGCAAACTGCCAAGTAAGTGTCAGTATTTCTTAAATACTTGACATATATTCAATTTCTTATCAAAAACGTTAGATATAATGTTGTGCAAGATCATAAACTTTTTCGGCATAACTAAGAAATTTGGAATTGTTTCGACATAAGCTAAAAAACTAAGAAGGTGGCCAATTTTCAAAGCTTCCTAGTTTCTTTGTTTGTGATCGAATAGCTTCCAAATTTCGCCATAATGATACTTATATGCTCACAAGTAATAAACAATAGCTAGAAGAAAAATTTTCCACGGGGAAAAATTCAGGTCCGAAAGGGTTAGGGTCAAGGTCCCAGCCCACGACTAGGCACGCTCAGTGAGCCCATCACTGATATTGGTACACTGGCGGACTAGCGTTATCGTCAAGCCGCTTTACGGCTTGAATGTGTGCAATGAAGGCCAAGAAGAGGCCTAGAAGCTTTCTAATCGGAATGTACGCCTCGCCAGGAAGCCTTACCTTTGCTGCAGTCGAACGCAAAGCTGGCGCTGCCAGAAGAACTGTGGCGGCGATTCTGTTAGCGCCATCGTTGCGAACAACTGTTGCGCTTCCCCATCGTTGTCTGAAGGGCTGTTGAACCCAACTCTGTGGAGCCTGGGCTGTGGCATTCTAACCAAAAGAAAAGGTCGCTGCAGCACCCATCTTCTAGTGGCGAGTCCCGAATCATACTTGCAATAGTTGCTTTGCAAAATATTGCAACTTTTCAGCAAAGTTGATACCCCAACTTGATTGCCTCCGAAACAACAAATCTAAGCACAGGAAAACAAACCACTTTTCTTTGGTCCATACTTCTGCCCCATAAAATGGAAAAGCTAAAATGGATGTTCGAAGTAGTCTGCCGCCATGAATAGGGCACGTTCAACGCAGACTTTTGAGCGTGTTATTTCCTGCTTCAAACCCAGAAGGAAGTGCAACACCGCAAGCACTACCTGTTCGTCAAAACATTCCCACCTTATCGGAAGGGAATTGCATATGCACAGTCAAGTGAAATCTCACTGAACAACACTTTAGGACAACATGGGCACTGCCAAAATTTTGCAAAATTTAATTTTAAGGTTTTCCTGAAGGACCATCTATAGCTCCTTCCTTTGTCCTACGATTTGCATAGATGGTAGAAATGAGTTCGAACGCGAATATTCCGACAAATTTTCACTGGAGGAGTGTAGCGAAGGAACAAAAACACATCTTTTTCTGGAAACTAATACGCTTCGTGTTGAGATTTGGCAGCCAGTACTTGAGCCGATGGATAGAAAAGTAATAACTATTATGAGGCCGAGCGGAAGTTATCTGCTGCTTTTATTGGCCGATGGCCTTTTTAAGCTTCCGCCAGCTGTTTCCCGCTTTTCTAGTGTCGCTTAAACCTCCGCAATCTGTTCCACGCTTTGATATATAACATGTATTTTTGCTTCAATGCTAGAGCTTACATTGTTAACAAATAAGTGTATGGATATGTATGTAGCATCAATGAAAGACTCTAATATATTTAACACATTGCGGACCGCCGTTGTATGAGCACCTTCGTAGCTTTTTTATATTTTTCAAAAACGTATCATCATTAATCTATCAACAATTTTACCAGTGATGACACGTATGGTTTCCAGGCTCTGAAAATGAGTGCAACCAGTTCATGAGCATTGAAAAATGTCAAATAAATCAGATTAAACCATGATGTTTCGTGTGAAATCGTGCGCCACCATGTGTGGCGCACGCGGTACGCAATGTGTTAAACAATTTTTGCTGCGGCGTCCAATTCGTAATTGAACAATGCAGAAGTTTGGCTCGTTTTTCTAGGCTCCGATGGGGGGGGGAACATTTCCTGCTAGTTGAAAGAGTGCCAAAAGTGGTAATATCTGTCAAATCCTACAGCAGCTAACAAAACAGTACATGTCTACTGCGGTAAAGTCTGCTAATCGTTTCGAAAAATAGCGGTTACATAAAAAAAACATGTCGAAAACTGCAACCCAGCTTCCTTGTGTGGAGAAGCTTCGCCTCTGTGTTTATTTTTTTCTGCTTTTACGTTTTATTGATTACCTGAATTCTTGGTTCTGCCGACTGCCTTCAAACTCAGGCAGATATGATAGCTTCTGATAATTTTTTATTACAGCTACCCGAAAAACTGTGGCGCAAGGTCCCAAATACTCAAACAAACCCGTCTGAAATATTTTTGCTTTACGGCCTGCCAGAAAGCTTTAGCATATGTATGTGACAGGTTTAACTATGTTTCCCTTTGTTAACAGCATCACGGGTGCAAAGGCATGTTCCCCCGTCGGACAACGGACCCGAGCCTTCTATTTCGGCGTGTGCAGCAGATTGCGGGCTGCCGAAAGACGCCAGAACGGTAATCTACACTGGTGTGCAAAACTTAGGGACGAACGTAGCTTTTCCAACGACGTGTTACTGGCGCGTAACATGACTCTATGGAACCTAACCACACATACAAAGAGCTGCCACAGGGCACTAAAGAAAGCAGTTAACAGGAACCGTTAAACGGTCCACAAAGCTATCAAAAGGTTATGATACTTCATCTGTCTCGTCCTTAAGTTTTGCACACCAGTGTATAAGGATAAAGGATAAAGCATTTGCCGTTGATCAATCCCTTTTGGGATGCGGCACGCATTCTACTTCCATTTGTACATTCGTAGTGGCGTTTGAATGCGATGTGGCCTATACAATGACTTGCGGGGGCCAGCCGATGTACAAGTCAGTGTTTTTATCCTCCCAGACAAGTCTGGTACCAATTAACCGACCCCGGAGGGATGGAAGGCTTGGTTGGCCCGGGCGACTCACGACCCAGGATTTGATCCCCGGACCGCTCGCGTGGTAAGCGTGCCACTTGCCACTACACCACTTCCGCCCTCGAACGGTAATATATAATCAAAAATTAAAACTTATTAGGCTCGTAGAAACGCCGAATAATTCCGTTCATCTTCAGTGGCGTAGACCTGCTTATTCAACAAATAGTCCCATACGCAATGCTTCAATTTTGTCGAAGCAAGTGTAGGTTTTTAGAACAGGCGATCATTTTCACGACAGGGTTTAAAAAGCCTAACAAGTAAGAAAATCGCTTACAGCCCACTTACTAGACCCTACAAGTTCAAGAATCTTATCAAAAACGTCAACCACGGCACTCGCGAAACTAAAAACTGCTCCTTCGTACTATTTAATAATTGAATTTGTCGTTATTTATTATCCGTATTTATTGCAATGTGTGAGTATCTGAGCCAGTTATTAGGGGTGCTATAGAGGTTCCTGAAGTAGCTTGCAACCAAATCATGCCCGTTGTTGTTTTCTTCAAGTGCAAAATGGCAAAAGAGAGTCGTGATTTCCTCGACTGTGAATTTTTATTGA